GGGAGGAAGGGTTAGCCTGGTGATGGATATGAAGGAGGGCACGTTCTGCGTGGAGCACTGGGTGTTATGCACAAACAATGAATCATGGAACACTACATCAAGAACTAATGATGTAATGTATGGTGATTAACATAACAATAAAAAATAAAAGAAATTCAGTTTCTTAAATAATTACAGGACTATTTAGATTATCTATTTCACATCAGGTGAATTTTGGTAGTTTATGGCTTTTGAGAAATTGGCCCATTTCATTTGTTAAATTTATGTGCATGGATAATTTCTATCTTCCAGTTCACTGATTCTCCTGGAAGCTTCTGACAGTTACTGTATTTTTCATTTCTAAAAGTTTTGGTTGGTCTTCTAAAAAATTTCCATTTCACTTGCTGCCATTTCTTGTTCCCTCTATTTTCAAGTTTATCGTTTCTTTGAGAATAGTACATTTTATAGTATCTTATAATTCAAGTATCTAAGTCTTTGAGAATCAGTTTGTTATTCTTGTTGGTTCTCACCTACAGTAACTTTTCTGGTGAGCTTTAAAAAGTAATTGTATCTTTGCAGGAAAAAAAATGTGGAAGTAACTGGAGAGGAGATAAAAATAAGTCCCTTCCTCCAAAAAGTAATTTCATTTACTTCTATCATACTTCTGGAGGCATCAATAGTGCAGGATCATCTCAAGCCAGGTTCAAGCCTTGAATTCTCCTGAGCTCCCAGGCTACAAATCCCTGGAAGGATCTCATTTCTGATCACCTCTTTTACTCTGAAAACGATAGCCTTTTGGCATGCCAGCTTTTTGTGGGAAACAACTTCTAACAGTCTGTTCATTTTATGTGGGCTCTGGGTTTTGATTCTGTCCCATTCAACATAGGGTAAGGTCTGATTGGCTAGAATCAAATGTGGTTTGCCATTAGATCAAATGTGGTTTGATCTATGCTCCATTTCTCCCTGAATTTTTATTTATCTTCTCTTTTGACCTGATAACATTTTTACTAATTTGTCAGTTCTTGAATGCTTTCAGAAATTTTTTTGCTTATATTTTATCCAGAAGTTTTGGCTTCTTGCAGCAGGAGGATTCACACACACACACACACACACACACACACACACACACACACAATAGCTTAGGCCATCATTAACAGAAACCAGAAGTTTCACTCACTGTCTCCCCTATTGAACTTCTGAGCGCTTCCAAAACCTCATTAGTTTATCACCTCAGGCATTTCTAAGTGCTAGCCTCTCTGCCTAGAAATATTGCTCTCTTTCCTCAACCCCACTGACCTCTTCTGGCTGTTCATTCTTCTCTGACTCCTGAGGCTTTGTTAAATCCTATTTCTCTATGCTTCCACAATCCCCAATGCTGCTCCTATCTAGCACTGTCTGTAGCTGCTAGTTATATTGCTCTGCCAGGGCCAGACCTTGTATATCTCTCAACTGCGTAAGAGGGAGTACATCACAGTGGGTAAGAGTGTGGCACCTGGAACCAGAGTAGGTTTGAATCCCGGTGTGACCTTAACTTCTCTGTGCCTCGGTTTTTGCATCTGCAAAATAGAAATAATAATACAAGCTTGCATTAATGCTCATGAAAAATGGTTAGAATTGCACCTGTACACAGAGTGTGCACCTAAGTATTGGCCAACTTTATTATCGAAGTCTTAGCTCATGGCACTTGTTAGGCACCTGATAATTGAATGTTTATATATTTTTATGAATCAACATGATTTCCAAGCAGCTCTGACTTGGTGATTTGCCTGAGCCACTGTCCCCCTGAAAGGCCCAACCACTGTGATTTCTTTGAACCACTATGAATCAAGAAGACTAATGTACCAGCTGTCTTTTCCCTCAAATCTGTCCACTAAGCACTGCCAGGGAGCTGGAAGGGAATAGCCTAGAGCAAAGACCACTGAACCAGGACTGAGGTGATTTCTCATCCTAGCTCTACCCCTGCCTTGCTGTGGGACTTCAGGGAAACAGCTTCATTTTACAGAACACTTTCTGCATACCCCACTCCAGTCTTGCTGTCCCCCAGACTGCTTGGTCTCTAACAATGCCCTCTTCTACTACTGGTTCAAAACCAACCTGTTCTCTAAGGCACACCGCAAATGCCACCTCTTGAACAAGGTACACTTCCAGATGACTGCTCCATTTCTAACTCACAGCTGTAATTCAGCTGTTAGCACAGTAAACTTATGCAATCATTTGTTGGATTAACTCACTTGAACTTTAGAGTAAATGTGAACAAATCAACTGTCTCTTTCAATTGTTTCCCACTTGATAAAAGGAAACTTAACCCGAAGAGACCAGATGAAGCTTTAAATTCCAAAGCTTTAATTTAAATCAAGCAGGCTTCTCGCCTGTATAAATGCACATACCCAGGAATGTTGTGGGTTCAGAATGCCATCACACAAGCAGGCATTGCTCGCTGATGTCACACTTGGGCTTTCACTAACATGCCTTCACCCCATTCCTCACATCCACGACTAATTTCCGCAAAGGAAAGGATGTTAAAATACATAACCCTCTGTGCAGTGTATCAAATAATCATCAACCTGAACTATGTATTTCAGTTCTAAGCCTTTTAAAACCAAGCTATATTGTATACTGGCATATTCCATACACTAATACAAAAATTAAAAACAAAAAAACTCATTACCTGAATTGATGACTCTGCTTTATCACCAGAATACAATAAAAGTATCTGAGAGCTCCGTCACCAGTTGCTCTTAATGAGGTGTCCTTTGTCCATGTCCAAATGAGGGAACTAGGTGACTAGGAAGAGGTTTGATGGGGAAAACCTGAAGATTCTGTCCAACACTTCAGCAGAACTGTAGACCACCACGGAGGATTTGGGAGAGGGGCTCTGAAACAAAGGGCTGCTTTGTAGATGGCTTTTTTTTTTTTTTTTGAAGATTTTTCTTTCTTTCTTTCTTTGAGAGAAAGAGAGAGCATGAGCCGGCGGGGGGGGGGGGGGGGGGGGGGGGGGGGGAGCAGGGGCAGAGGGAGAAGCAGGCTCCCCGCTGAGCAGGGAGCCCGATATGGGACTTGATCCCAGGACCCTGAGATCATGACCTGAGTCAAAGGCAGACGCTTAACGACTGAGCCACCCAGGCGTCCTGATACCTTCGTTTTGACAGCAGTGTTTTGCAGCCAGTGGGGAGAACAGGTGGAGAATAAAGAAGTTGCAAATAGCTAGGAGGAACATGAATTTCCAAAGAATTCAAGAAGAAAGCTTTAGGATTATGTCAACTTCAAATGAGAAGTCCACCAGTGATATCTGGCTTTGGAGATGGGCAGTGTCTTTTCTTTGACTCCCCTTTTTTTTAAGATTTTATTTAGTTATGGGGCACCTGGGTGGCTCAGTCAGTTGGGCGTCTGCCTTTGCCTAGGGTCATGATCCCAGGGTCCTGGGATGGAACCCTACATTTGGCTCCCTGCTGGGGGGGCGGAGCCTGCTTCTCCCTCTCCCTCTGCCCCTCCCCCTGCTTGTGCTCTCTCATAAATAAAATCTCTAAAAAAAAAAAGGAAAAAGATTTTATTTATGTATGAGAGCATGAGCACGCACACAAGCCGGGAGAAGGGTGAAGGGAGAGGGACAAGCAGACTCTGTGCTGAGCGAGGACCCTGATACAGGGCTCGATCCCAGGACCCTGAAATCATGACCTGAGCCAAATTCAGATGCTTAACTGACTGAGCCACCCAGGCACCCAGACCCTCTTTCTTAAAAAAAAAAAAAAAAAGTATGTATGTGTGTTGGGGGGGCACCTTCCAAGATGTCTGGCATTTAGAATCTCTTAATGCAAGAAGCTATTCCTCCACTAAAACAAGTTTACTTCACAACTGGGACCTCTTACTGAAGAATGTAGGCCAAGTGGTCACCTATCATGCTGCCCAGCAGGATGGGTTTGTGGCAAAGCCCAAGGCTACCTGGAAGCAGTAGTAGGAGCACAAACTGAACAGGAGGCCCTGGAGGCCAGATTACTGCCTCATCCCAGCAAAAGAAAGCCATTGGTCTAGATCCATCAAAGCAAAACCTACCTTTCAGACATGCACATATGCAATAGGGGGTCTACAGCAGATAGGAAAATTAGGAAAGTAGCAGTCACAGTGGCCAGTGTGTAGCACATGGCGGGGGGATGCTAACTGCTCTCTTGTTGTTAGAGCTTCCCTACATCTAACTGACCTCATTGAGTATTCACTCTTTAAGGGGATCTTTTCCTTTTTCTTTTGCACAAACACTAGTCAGCTGCCCCTCCCCACACTAGTCAGCCCTTAGGCCTGAGTCCACATGGGTAGGTGGGACGGACCTACTGTGGGTAGGTGGGAGAAAGACAATTTCACAGCATCACAAGTTTCCAAGAGGAATGGTGGGCAGCAGCAGCACCTAGTTGCATCACCTGCCCCCCGCCTCCCAACCCACCACTACCCGAGGGCAACATAGCAGGGACAGGGATCAACTGGTACAAGACCTGCTATGTAGAACCTGCCCCAACGCACTATTCTGGAAAGGAAAACCCCTTCACTGCCAATTGAGAAAACACTGCTGCTTCCACAGGACCAGCACTCACTCGCTGATGTGTGAGGGTCTGGCTTCCAGAGCTGTTGCTGGCCCCAACTTCCCTGTTTCCTGGTCTCGCCTCAGCACACCCTCTGCAACTACCTATGTTTACCTCAAAAATATACTGATACAAAGATTCCTGTAGCTGCAAATGGACCTATAAACACAAGGCCCTCTGCCAAGAAAAGATAACCCTTTGAAATGGGGCTATATTTACAAATTTTATTATTTTTTATCCCAAAAATACATACAAATGAAAACCTGCTATTCAAATGCAGGGAGGCCTTCGCCTATTTACATCACAAAACATTCTCATATGAAAATCAGTATGCAGCTCTTTCACTCACACTCTTAGGTATACACACACACAAACACACACACACACACACACACACAATGTGTAAGTAGTTACGACTTTGCTACTTACACATATTCCTCTGTGGAAAATTAGGAAACGGCAACTCCCTTGCTTTCCGGCCTTGGGAAAGTAAATACAATCTCTATGAACATTTTTTTAAAAAGATGAAACATGTCAACTATACAACCTCCTTTACACACATACATACATTGTTAGAATAAAGCAAGGACCGTGCTACATAAATGACACTGTTTTGCAAAGAAGGAAAGAAATAACATTTGAATAAAACTGCTAAGTTGAACAGATATGATGATCAAAATTGTTATGTACATGCTCTATGGAGAAATCAGAATTCTCTCACAGGAAACCGATCCATGACCCATTTCAGCCTCTCGTGACGTTGTATCAGCACCCACTGGCGGTAGCCAGGATCTTCCTGTACAGTTGTAGGCTTCAGCAGGTTCCATAAAGCATCTGTTTAAGTCCAACAGTTAATAATGAGGTCATGTGGTAAATTCCCACCCCCCCAAAAATGAAGTGCAAAGTCAACTTCTGTGACTCAAGAGCTCAACCAGGTCAAAGTTTTGGTATATAATGGAGGCTGTTTTGGTGACAACCAAAGCTTAGTAAGGTTCTCTGTTCAGGGGTTTGCCCCAAAAACAAAAACAAACCCAGTCCACAAAGCTTGACAACTATATAAATAAAGTAACTGTACAAAGAGAACAAGCCACAATTCCCCTTGAACCAAGGGTTTGTAGTTTCCTAGGCAGCAGTTCTGAAAGCACCAACTAAAGCCACGATGCTTCTACTGAAACACAATGTGTTGGTGAGACTGTTCTGAAAACAAATGCCCACAGGCAAGGGGCTGATGTGCCACAGAAAAAAGTTCAACCAAACAGAAGTCAGTTTTCCTATACTATAACAGAAGGTGGTCAGCAACAGAGGAAAGACTTAAGGCATTAAGAGGCATGACAGAGAGAACCATGGTGCTCTCTGACTCAATCCCAAAACCTTTAAAGAAAGGTCCTTCCAGAGTTTGGGCTGTTTCTTAGTTTGCTAGCTGTCAGATACTTCCTCCTCCTCCTCCTCATCCTCATCTTCTTTCCTGTCTACTTCAGAGGTGTCGGAGGACTCGTGAAGCAGGACATACTCTCTGCTGCTGAACCCAAATTTAAGTACATCCTTTTCCTTTAGTTCATAGTATCTCTGTGGCTCGATGCGCTTGTTGTTCAAGAACGTTCCATTGCCTGAGCCAAGGTCAATGATGTAGGGCCTCACCCTTCGGCCAACTGTCCCATCAGCACGGGTATATTCCACAAGCCTAGCAGAGATAAAAGAGAGAAACTTGTAAGCAAAATCCCACCTCAGACCACCCAGCATTTTGCCTACATTATGTAAATTACCTGGCTTGAACACAGTTCAAGTCCAAACTCTAGGAAATCAAGGGGAAGGGATGGCCTTGGATCTGGAAATTGGGAGCAAGTTAAATATACTTGATAGAAAAGGCGAGAACTGGTTGCTGAGGGAGTAGGGGAGGGAAATTCGTGGTAGATTAAAAATATAAAATCAGAATCCAAGAACTCTTGCCATGATTAAGAAAATACATTTTGTGTTGTTTATAATCAAGATAAACCTGTATTTCAACATATTTTAGCTCCTGTCCCAATGGGAATGAAGTAGTGGATTTTGACGTCACAGTCAAGGGAGCTAACTTTGAATCAGATCATTTATTAGGCTCTGCTGAGCTTCAATCTTCTCACCCATCGAATGGGGATATTAAGAGCTGACCTATCCTCCGTACGTGTTGTGATGATCACACAGTAACAGATGCCCTACACAACAGTCAAATACAGAATGGCAAACACACGTGCCAGGCACTCTCAGGTACATTTCCATGTAACCCCCAATATAGCCCTTTGAGGTAGGGAGAAACTGGGGCACAGAGAGTGGCTTGCCCCAGGTCAAACCCTTGGGAAGGGGCAGTGGCAGGATTCAAAATCTGGATCTCTGACACCAAATGTGATGCTTTTAGACACATGTAAGTGATTATTCAAAGGGCGGTTAGATTCATAATCCTAAAACGAAGATTAGATCTGAGGAGTATGGGATTCTTCTGCGTCTGCATACACATGCACACAAATGTTAGTAATCCTGAGACTCTCAGCTTCTACGCACACTTCTGGTTCTTCCTGCAAATGTACACTCACCGATACTGAAAGACCGCGTGCTGTTTTGAGCAGGAGGGATGATCGATTGGGATGTCCGCTATGCGGCGGTGCCGGCCCAGGAGGTAGGCGCTCTGCCGATGGATGTACATGACAGGAAGCACCTCGTCATTTTTAAAGGGGTAGAGGCGCCATCGTTTTTTGGGGATACGTGCTTCTGGGGGCTCACTATACTTAATGACAACACCCCGGAAGGTGTTGGTGTCCTCAAGAAGTGCCCCAGAGAGTTCAAAGCTTGGCTTTTCTTTAGCGGGTGCCTCTTTGTCTTTACTGTTGCCACCAGGTCGGGGAACCAACTCCTGAGACTCATTACCACCAACACTAACTTCGTTCTTCTGGCGATTCTCCCGTCTTCGGGCGTTGTAAAACTCCCGCTCTGCATCCTGAGCCTGTAGATTCTGAATGTCTCGGTCCCGTCCCTGAGCCTGCCCACTCCCAGGCCTCTCATTAGAGCTTCTCCTCTGGTGGGAATGGCCCCTGTGTCTGTCGTGGTCACTGTTTCTAGCTCGTCTGTGTTCCTGGCCCGATGACTCCCGGTGCTGCCGTTCGTCCCGTCCTCTCCGGGGATGATCCTCACGTTCCTGAAATTCAAACAGATCCAGTAAATGAAAGGCAGTCCACATTCTGTGAACAAGATGCATTCAAAAAGCCATTTGTGATTTGGACTTTGGCATTCAGAGCAAAATGTCCCACAGAAATAAGGTTAGCAGTGGTGGTTGTATTCCCTTGCAAGGCTACACAGACTATTTCCACACTGTCACCTGACTACAGTTCTTTTTTTTTTTAATTTTTATTGTTATGTTAATACCTGACTACAGTTCTAACACTGCAAGTCCAGGTTCAGAACCCTAGAAACTAGAGGAGCTATAGGCACACTCATAGGGAAGCATATACAGAAAACAAAACTAACAGCACTAAGTAGTCATGTACAAGATAAACATGTAAAGAAAAAAACTAGTTTTCTCTTATGTCAAAATGAAAATGTAATAATTTTAAAAGATTTCATTTCAACAGTAACAAAAATTGTTCAATACCAAGGAAGACACTTAAGATGTAAGACATGTAAGAAACCTGTAAAAATTTATTGATATTTTTTTAAAGATCTGAAAAAAATTAATAAACATATCATGGTTTCTTGAAAAAGACTCAGTATTGAAAATCAGCCTTGGAGAAACTGCAACACATAACATCTGTTAATATATCAATAAAAAAATAAATCAGTAAGAAAGACAATTCAAAAGAAAAAAATGGGCAAAGGATATTAATAATTTTGCTAGGAAGTAAGTATCTAATGAACACATGAATATAATAAACTTATCCTTATAACCAAAACATCAGAGTTCAAGAGGGAGCCTTGCACACTATGAGCAAGGCTACCACACCTGGAAAAGGTAAAGAGGAAATCCTGAGCACTGAAATCTCACTGTCTCCCCTGCTCCCAAGGCCTTCTCCCAGCTACACACAGGGGTCAAGTACAGGCCTGCTTGCTCAGAGTAGGACTCAGTTTTTCTAGACTGCCTAGCCTCCAAAGACAAGCATCAAGAGGGAGGCTCAGGCCCCCATCCCTCCTACCTTAAGATACTCACAAGCTTGCCTCCACCACCTACAAAACTAATCTCATTATGCCCTTTATCCCTGATTAAATGAAACACTAAAAGAAGCCACAGACTCTAGGTCATCACCCCCACCTCCCTTGTATTCCAATCCCCATAAGACTCTGTACATCCACTATTCCAATGACCAATTAATCTCAGTCCTCATTTTAAAGAGGTGTAGACCATGGCTCCTAGGTGGCTCATTCAGTTAGGCGTCCAACTCTTGATTTCAGCTCAGGTCATGATCTCAGGGTCGTGAGATCGAGCCCCATATCGGGCTCCAGCTCAGTGGGAAGTCTGCTGGAGATTGTCTCTCCCTCTGCCCTTGCCCCACCCCATCGCACAGGGTAAGTAAATAAAGATGAGTAGACCAGTCAAAATTAGTAAAAGCTATGTATGGAAAAGGATATGACAAATCATATAACCAGATAACACAAAATTACTAAGATTTCAATTACTGGGAAGTAGGATAATATATATAATATGGCTCCTTTTTAAACATTTTTTAAAAGATTTTATTTGAGAGAGAGAGAGAGAGAAAAAGCACGAGCAGGGGGAGGGGCAGAGGGAGAAGCAGGCTCCCTGCTGAGCAGACAGCCTGATGCAGAGCTTGATCCCAGGACCCTGGGATCGTAACCCAAGCCAAAGGCAGAGGCTTAACCAACTGAGCCACCCAGGCGCCCCATGGTTCCTTTTTTGAATTAAAAAACACACAGTGCATGGAAAACACTCAGAGGTGCATACTAAAACAAAGGAAAAAAAGAGAACATAAGTATAATAGAGTCTTGAAGTATAAATATCAAGCTATTAAAATGGTTGCCTCTGGAGACTTAGGTGGTTTTTTGGGGGGGGACCTGCAATTTTGGGGATAATGGGAGAAGTAACCATACACAACATATCCCATACTCTTTCACTTTATGTACTTCTGTGTTATTACAATGAGCATGCAATCAATAAATTTATTTTTTAAATGGTGGTTCAGGTGTAGAGAAAAGAATGCCTGCAAGCACAAGTGATGCTTAAGTCAGAGGCTGCATGCATTCTCCCTTAGGATTAACCCATGTGAAAGTCACTTAGTGTCAACCGCCTATCGAGCCCTTTTGCTTGAGAGCCATTTCCAAGTTTCCAGCTGATTAACACACAGAAATTAGCTTTTAAGGAGATAATTTGAGGTAAGGAGGGAAATTAACATAGATAAACAAATGAAGATACATCAAAATGGCAATAAGCACAGAAAAGTTCCATTTTAGGGACGCCTGGGTGGCTCAGTCAGTTAGGTATCTGCCTTGGGCTCAGGTCATGATCCCAAGGTCGTGGAACGGAGTCCTGCACTGGGCTCTTTGTTCAGCAGAGAGCCTGCTTCTCCCTCCGCCTGCCGCTTCCCGTGCTTGTGCTCACTCTCCAATTCTCTCTCTGACAAATAAATAAATAACATCTTTAAAAAAAGAAAAGAAAAGCTCCATTCTAAAAGTCCCAGGATTTATTGTAAAATGTTCATTTAGAAACCACAGGTAAAAAGCTGCCAGTTGCACACTGGAAAAAAACAAAAAACAAAAAAACGAAAAAACCACAAGTGGATGACAGGCCTCATCCGGGTGGTGTGGTTCTGGGAGCTGCATTCTGAGATAGCTAAAGCAGTACCTGATCAATTCACACTGCACACCACCAAGGCTGTCTGGCTTTATATCTTTAAGATACTAGAAAACTTGCCCACAGTCTCACAAAATAACAGGAAAATCCTTTTTTTTTTTTAAGATTTTATTTATTTATTTCAGAGAGACACAGTGAGAGAGGGAACACAAGCAGGGGGAGTGGGAGAGGGAGGAGCAGGCTTCCCACTGAGGAGGGAGCCCAATGTGGGGCTCGATCCCAGGACCCTGGGATCAGGAACTGAGCTGAAGGCAGATGCTTAACGACTAAGCCACCCAGGCGCCCTGGAAAATCCATTTTCTTTCTTTTTTTAAAGATTTTATTTGACAGAGAGAGAGAGACAGCGAGAGAGGGAACACAAGCAGGGGGAGTGGAGGAGGGAGAAGCAGGCTTCCCACTGAGCAGGGAACCCAACGCGGGGCTCGATCCCAGGACCCCGGGATCATGACCTGAGCCGAAGGCAGACGCTCAACGACTGAGCCACCCAGGCGCCCCATGGTTCCTTTTTTGAATTAAAAAACACACAGTGTGGGGCGCCTGGGTGGCTCAGTCGTTAAGCGTCTGCCTTCAGCCCAGGTCATGATCTGAGCGTCGTGGGATGACGCCCCGCATCAGGCTCGGAGGCTGCTTCTCCCTCTCCCACTCCCCCTGCTTGTGTTTCCTCTCTCGCTGTGTCTCTCTCTGTCAAATAAATAAAACCTTAAAAAAAAAAAAACACAGTGCATAGGAAACATAAGAAAATAGACATTTTCTTAATGTCTATTTGCACATTGTAACATAGAGTTTCTTGAATGCTTGTCTCTCAAGATAAGGGGCAAAGCAAGGTTATCTGCTCTCACTACTCTCATTCAACACAATGCTGGAAGTCCTAGTTAGTACAATAAAGCAAGACAAGGAAATACAATGCAGAGAGATTGTAAAGGAAGAAATAAAACTGTTCCTATGTGAAGATATGAGTGTCTATGTAAAAAAAAATCCCAAGAAATCTACAAAAAACCCTCCCATTCAAACCAATGAGGTCACAGAATATAAGAAAAACACAGAAAAATCAATTATACTTCTATAGATTAGCAATGAACATGTGGACCAAAATTTAAAGTATCACTTATAATCACTCCCCCAAAATAAAAACTTTATGTAAATCTAATAAAATATATATAGAACTTAAGTGCAAACTACAAACGCTGAAGAAAAAAAATCAAAGATCTAAATAAATGACTTATACAGTGTTCATGGATTGGAAGATTTGATATGATAAAAAGCCAACTCTCGGGGCGCCTGTGTGGCTCAGTCGGTTAAGCGTCTGCCTTCGGCTCAGGTCATGATCCCAGCGTCCTGGGATCGAGCCTGGCATCGGGCTCCCTGCTCAGTGGTGAGCCTGCTTCTCCCTCTCACTCTGCCTGCCATTCCCCCTGCTAGTGCATGCACGCTGTCTTGCTCTCTCTCTGTCAGATAAATAAATTCTTTGGGGCGCCTGGGTGGCTAAGTCGTTAAGCCTTCAGCGCAGGTCATGGTCCCAGGGTCCTGGGATCGAGCCCCGCATCGGGCTCCCTGCTCGGCGGGAAGCCTGCTTCTCCCTCTCCCACTCCCCCCGCTTGTGTTCCCTCTCTTGCTGTGTCTCTCTGTCAAATAAATAAATCTTTAAATAAATAAATAAATTCATTCTTTAACAACAAAAAGCCAATTCTCTGAAATACAGCTTTCTGCAATTTCTACCCAAATTCTAGCAAGATTTTTTTTATATAGACAAGATTGTTCTAAAGTTTATATGGAAAGACAAAGGAACTAGTATAGCTAAACAATTTTTAAGAAGAAAAGGAGAAGAACCCATCTACCCAATTTCAAGACTTACTATATAGCGACAGTAATCAAGACTGTGCGGTACTGGCAGAATGACAGAGATCAATGGAACAAAACAGAGAAGCAGAAGTAAACCTACACACATATTCCCAACTGATTTCTGATGAAGAAGCAAAACCAATTCAAGGAAAGAAAGACAGCCTTTTCAAAAAATGGTGCCATAGCAAGTGAACATTCATAGGCAAAAAAAAATGAACTTCAACCCAAGGCTCATGCCTTATATCAAAACAAACTCAAAATAAATCATGGACTTAAATGTAAAAGTTTGAGGAAAAAACGTATCTTTGGGATCTAGAGTTAGGCAAAAAGTTCTGAGACATGACACCGAAAGCACAATCCATAAAAAGCAAAGTGGAGGGACACCTGGGTGGCTCAGTCAGTTAAGCCTCTGCCTTCAGCTCAGGTCATGATCCCAGAGTCCTGGGATTGAGCCCAATGGGCTCCTTGCTCAGCAGGGAGCCCGCTTCTCCCTCTGCCTGTGCTCATGCTCTCTCTGACAAATAAATAAATAAAACCTTTTAAAAATAATAAAAAAAAAACTTAAAAAAAAGGAAAAGTTGATAAACTGGACTTCATGACAATTTAACATTTTTACTCTGAGAAAAACCCTGCTGAGTGAAGGAAAAGACAAGCTACAGACTGGAGAGAACTATCTGCAAACCATGTACCCAAAAAGGTCGAGTAACATAGAAGTAACATAGAACTCTACAAACAGAACAGTTAAGAAAGCAAAAAAAAAAAAAAAAAAAAAAAAGTAGAAAATAGGCAAGACTATGAAGCGACATTTCACCTGAGAGGATATACAGAGGGCAAGTTAAGTAGATGAAAAAATGCTCAAAGGGAAATGCAAATTAAAATCAAATGAGATGGGCACCTGGCTGGCTCAGCTGGTAGAGCATGGGAATCTAGATCTCGGGGTTGTGAGTTCAAGCCCCACGATGGGTGTGGAACCTACTTAAAATTAAAAATAAAAAGTAAATAAAATCACAATCACTACACATCTATTGGAATGGCTGAAACAAAAAATAATGTCAATACCAAATGCGGATGAGGATGCAGAGAAACTGCTTCACGCACAATACAGGTGGAATGTAAAATGGTACAGTCACTGTTAAGGACTGAATCGTGTCCCCCCAAAATTCATATGTCGAGGTCCCAACCACTGTCCTCAGAATGTAACCATTTTTGTGGGTTTTTTGCTTTTGTTTTTGTTTTTTATTGAGATAAGGTCTTTTAAAGACGTGATTAAGTTAAATGACAGCAAATCCCTAATCCAGTATGACTGGTGTCCTTATATGAAGAGGAAGAGACACCAAGGATATGAGCCCATAGAGGAATGGCCACATGAGGACGCAGACAAGAAGGTAGCATGTGCAAGCCAAGGAAAGAGGCCTCAGAAGAAACAAAACCTGCTGACACCTTGATCTTGGACTTTAGCCTCCAGAGTTGTGAGAAAATTTAATTTCTGTTGTTTAAGGTATCCAGTCTGTGGTACTTTTTATGGAAGCCCTAGCAAACTAATACAGCCACTCAGTTTGGGGTGCAACTATCATACAATCTAACAATTGCACTCCTGGGCATTCATCCCAGAAAAATGAAGACGTGTTCACACAAAAACCTGTACACAAATGTTACATAGCAACCTCACATATAACAGCCAAAAACTGGAAACGACCCAGATGTTCTTTAATGGGCAAATGGTTAAATGCACAAAACTGAGTTATCACTCAGCAATAAAAAGGAATGAGCTACTGACAGATACAACAACATGAATGAATCTCCAAAGAACTGCACTGAGTGAAAACAGCCAATCCCTAAAGGTTACATGTATGATTCCATTTACATAACGTTCTTGAAGTGACAACATTATAGAGATAGAGAACAGATTAGAAGTTGCCAGGACTTGAGGGGTAAGGGTGGGAGAGAAGTGGGTAAGACTACACAAGGGCAACATGATGGATCCTTGTGGTGATGGAAATGTTCTGTATCTTGACTATAGCGATGTCCATATCTCCCTGTGATATTGTACTGGAATTCTGTAAGACGTTACCAGTGGGAAAAATAGAGTAAAGAGTATACCTCTGTATTTTTTTTAACCATGGAATGTAAATCAACAATTACCTCAAAATAAAAAAAGTTTAACAAAACAATCAGAAAAAAAACCCCAAAACCCAATTTTTAGAAAAACCCATTGCAGATACAGGTAAACACATATGATTATGTGTTTGTTATGACGGGAAGAGGTTCTACATTTGGACCTGGTATCCAAACATCTCAATCCACTTACCTGTTTCACTCTGACTGTTGAGTGGTGAGGACTTCGGCTTCTCTTACTCCGAGGAGACTTGCTTCTTCTCCCTGAGGACTTGTTTTTCTTTTTGGCTGGGGACCTTTTCAGAGCATGGTACACACAGGGTTTTATCTCAATTTCCCTTCCCCCATATAAATTCACTTCAAGTATCAGGCTTACCTACTAACACAAACAGCACATTTGTGAAGGGCTCTGCTTTTCATATTAAAGGAGGTGGGAGCTTCACTCTCCAGCCCTGACGTCTTGAGTTCCAGACCCACATACATGGCTGCCTACTGAACCTTCTCACAGAGCCTAACACTCGCTTCCCAACCCCTCAAAACCCTTTCCTCCCACAGTCTCTGCCATCTCAGTAACTGGTACCACCATCCACCCTGTTCCTCAAGACAAAAACCTAGAAAACACCCTTGACTCTTTTTTCTCTCACCACCAATAGCTCCCCACTCCCTCCCGCCACAACCACACCAATCCATCAGGGAGTCCTCTGGCTCTATCTCCTCCCTCTCCCACCTCACTCCTACCACTGTCCTTGATCAACAGACAATTGTCCCCCCTATTTCTAGAAAAATCACATTAATTCTGCTTCAGGTTCTTTGCACGTATTGTTTCCTCAGCCTGGCTCTTTACGAGGCTAGATTATTCTTATCATTCGGGACTCAACTCAAATGGCACCTTTTCAGAGAAGGCCTTCTCTCACTTCCCTTCAAACTCTATCACACTCCTGTTTTAACCTCTTCTTTAATCTAATACTTGTTACTAACTGAAACTATTTTATCGGCTTGTTATTTTGTCTCAAGGCGAGAGGACATCAATTTCGACAGGGCGAGGACTACAAGGGCCACCCTTGAGGCCCCTGTACCTAGGGCAGTCTTTAGCATGCAGTAAAACTATGCTGAAGGAATAAATTAACGAGTTCAGCTTTCTTCCAAATCCCTACCAGGTAGATCGCCTAGGCTCTCAATATGGAAACATTTGGGGGCAGATAACTGGAAAGCCAACGCCAGCACTCGATTTGCAGGCAGATAGGGAAAACCTTTTATTTCAACTCGATCAGTGCCATTTGCTGGGCCCTACTCGGCCAAGAGCTGGGCACAGAGATGAAGAGGCGGGATCCTACCCATTAGGCATCAGGCGCTTAACGCAAGTGACAGGTACCAGAGTAAACATTCTTCAGCACAAGCACCACCGGCTCACTTCCACCACCGTAAGATTAAATCCAAGCTGCGGCGCGCAGCATTCAAGGTGTGCTTCTGACGCTAGCCCTGTCTTTTCTCGAAGAGCCGGACCCAAGTCCATCCCAGGCGCCTTTCCACTTACCGGCTACCTCCTCGGGCTCGGTTCCCGCGGTGAGGAGGGCGGCCCGGCTCGCCAGCCGGCGGGGACGCGCTACCGCCGGAGGAATCTGGGCGGCGGTGGGCGGGAGGCGCGGCTTCCGGGCTGAGGCGCTCCTGCTTCACCTTCACCACCACCGCCGCCGCCACCATGTCCCCGTCGCGGTGCCTCCGCCGGCTCCCCCGCTCCCGCTCGCTCTTTACCTCCTTCATGCCGAGATACGAGCCGAGCGAAGGAAAAAAGATCCGTTGCGCTCCTCTCGCTGAAGGAAATGACGGACTTGACCCCTAGACTTCCGCTTCCGGGTGCGCGCTCTCCCAGAAACCCTCGCGGCGGAGAGCTAGGCACGTGACTACGACACTGCAGCGGGCGGGGCTGTCAGGACCGGCTCCGGTGGCGGGAGTTTTAAGTGACAGAAAGAAACTTCTGGGAAAAAGCTCCCCTCGAGGCTGTTTGTTGCCGCATTATTAGTAATTACTAAATACGGAGACAATCTGAATGTCCGGCAGTAGGAAACTGTTTAGGCAACTGATGAATGGTCTCTCGCCATTCGTAAGCTGTTTATAAGCTCTGTGACAGATGGAGGAATCCCTGATTTGTTCAAGGAAAGAAGCGGGATAAATAATGGTGCGCAAACTGTGATTACATTTAAGTTTGGAAATACGAAGTTAAGGAGAGAGGGAAAAGCAATCACAGATAGTAGCCCGTGGGCAAGTCATTAGTATGCCCCCCTCTGTTCTTGAACTTTGTTATGCTGTCATTTCAACATTTAACTAAAAACACTTTTTTTTAGATTTTGTTTATTTGACAGAGAGAGACATAGCGAGAGAGGGAACACAAGCAGAGGGAGTGGGAGAGGGAGAAGCTGGCTTCCTGCCGAGCAGGGAGCCCAATGTGGGGCTTGATCCCAGGACCCTGAGATCACGACCTGAGCCGAAGGCAGACGCTCAGTGACTGAGCCACCCAGGCGCCCCCTAAAAACACTTTAAAATATTTTTATTCTCAAGTCATCTCTACAGCCAGTGGTGGGGCTCGAACTCACTACCCCCAGATCAAAAGTCTCATGCTCCACTGACTGAGCCAGCCAGACGCCCCCAAAATAAATACTTTTTAAAACCTGGGAACTCCAGATCCCTTCCTCTGGAATCTTCCCCAAGCCTTCATTGAGGAGTCACATGACTCCCATTTTGCAGGTGACAAAATTGGGGGTTAGCTAAGGGGATCTGCCACCTCATTCAAATTGCGAGCGAGATGCAGCGCAGGGACTCGAACTCCTGTTTTGCATGTTTCCAAGAGTATCAAGGCGACCTGGTGAGCAGGAACCCAGATAAGGTAAGCGCAAGGAGAATTTTTCACGGAGGCTGAGCGGAAACTCTGTGCTGCTGGCCCCGCCCCACTCCGAAGCCCCGCCCAGGCCACCGGGAAGGGAGAGGAGGTTTCCATGGTGACGGCAAACAAGGCGCACACTCGAGGGGCCACGGCCGGGCTGCTACCACCGTGGCCGCCATGATCCCCCCTGCGGACTCTCTGCTCAAGTATGACACCCCGGTGTTGGTGAGCCGGAATACGGAGAAGCGGAGCCCCAAAGTAAGGACGGGTCTTAGGGGGCGGGGGAGCCCGGAAGCTCCGATGGGGAAAGATCCCTGCGATGAGGATCCCGGGTCCCGAGAGACGTGGGCTGCAGCAACTGGGAGCAAAGGGAATTGGGACAGGGGAAGGAAGATGGGAGAGCGGCACAAGAAGCGCAGATGGGTGACCCCAGAGAGCAGATTTAGGATGAGGGAGGAAGTCACAGAGATGGATGGGGCTCACTCTTTTTCATAGTAGTCTGTTCCAAGAATAGATCTGGTAGTGCTTGCTCGCTCCATCACTACAGGGCTGAGCACCTGTGCCAGAAACATTGGTTCCAGGAGATACAGGCCTTGGGCTAGGATGGAACCAAAGACTCTTCATGGCTTCCTTCAGCTGAGACATAACTTCTGAGAAGAGAGATGGGGAAAGTGAGCTGGGAAGAGGGGAAGGGTGTTTAGAAGACCTGGGGCAACCGAGAGGGCTTGGATACGTGGAGTTCAGTGTCTGAATCACCTCCTGCCCTAACCTATCCATTCTCAGGCACGGCCACTGAAAGTCAGCGCCCAGCAGCCTGGACCCTCTGGTCCAGTTCCACAGCCACCAAAGACCAAGCTCCCCTCAACTTCTTGTGTCCCAGATCCTACAAAGCAGGCAGAAGAAATCTTGAATGCCATCCTACCCCCAAGGTAAAAACATAGGTGCAGTGGCTTCGAGAAAGCCCAGGCTTTGCATCCCAGAACTTGGGAATGTAGGAAGAGGCACCCTGTCCCTCTGTTCCTGGCCCGGATTTCCTCCCAGCATCCCAGAACTCCTAGAGCTTGCAGATGGCTGGATCCTGGAAGGGTGGGGGGAGACCTCTTCTCTATCCTCCTCTTTTCCTGAATGCTCAAACAGGCTCCTGGCTTTAAATACCATCTACATGCCGATGGCTCCCAAATGTGTATTTCCAGCCCTGTCCTTTCCTCTAAACTCCACACCCATGTATTTTACTGCTTCCTCATTATCTTCATGAAGGTGTTTCCTGGGCATCTCAAACTCAGCATGTCCAAACTAAATCATGATGTCCCCCTCTCCCAACCTACTCATCCCCAGTCTTCTCCTTTCTACAAGTGGCTCAGGCCACCCTTCATTCCTTTTGGTCTCTCACATCACATGTCCTATCCTTCATCAAATTATTTTGGCTCTACCTTCAAATTTATATCCCAAATCTAACCACTTTCCACCCCCTCTGCTTCCACCATTTTTTTCCTCGCCACTGTTTGTCACCTACAGTGGTCTCCTATCTGAAAACCTTGCTTCCATTCTTTGCTCATACAATCTATTCTCCAAACAGCCCTGAAATCCTAAGCCAGATCATGCCAGTCTTCTGCCAGGAACTCTTTAATGGCTTCCCATGTCACTCCAACTAAAATCCAAAGTCCTGGGCGCCTGGGTGGCTCAGTTGGTTAAGCGACTGCCTTCGGCTCAGGTCATGATCCTGGAGTCCCGGGATCGAGTCCCACATCGGGCTCCCTGCTCGGCGGGGGGTCTGCTTCTCCCTCTGACCCTCTTCCCTCTCGTGCTCTCTATCTCTCATTCTCTCTCAAATAAATAAATAAAATCTTTAAAATAAAATAAAATAAAATAAAATCCAAAGTCCTTACAATGACCTGCAAGAGTTGGCACGATCTGGCCCCTCATATATCCATGATCTCGTCTCCTGTTATTCTCCTTATTGTTCAGTGTGCTGATGCCGCAGGGGCCTCTGCTGTCTCTGGAATACTTCCATCACCCTTCCACCTCAGGGCCTTGACAGTTGCTGTTCTTACTGCCAAGGATACTCTTCCCCCAATGTCCACCTCATTCCCTTCCATCTCTTTACTCAGGTCTTGCTCAAATGTGATTTCCTCAAGGGGGCCTTCCTTGAGAATCCTTATAAAAGAGCACCTTCTCCCTTCTTCACCATCCCCTCACCCTGCTCCCTCCTTCTGCAGCCACGTGTATGACTATCTGACATGCTTAGTCAACTATTTTTAGGTAATAAGTTGACAGTACAGTTTCTAAGACTGTAATGAAAAGAGTGACTGCCATCTCGTCCGAGATGGAAGTCAAGGGAGGGGGGATTTTTCAGGTGATTTCCTCCTGTCAATAAATGGAAATCCTCTCCCCATGGTGATTCTACCCTCAGGCTCCCTCCTTGTGATTCCAGAACCTGGCCAAGCCTCTGACACAAGGTTTATTGGGGGGAGGGGGGTGGGGTGAGCGGGGAGGGGACCACATAGTTGCACGCCTTCAGGAAGCTCCCCACTGCACACTTTTGCCTCTTTCTGGCTGGCACAAGGTTTAGGGTGCCCTGTGTCTCCCACCCCACAAGTCAGTGGGGAATTCTCACTGGGCCTTCTTTTCCAATCAAGCAATGAGGTCTATGAATCTGTCCTCAACCCATTAGGAGGGTAAGATCTGGAACATGGGTGATGATTTCACAGAAAGCCATAGGAGGGTAGAGATTGCCCAGCTCCCAGGTAGAGGCCCCGTGGAGGCAGCTTAGTGGGTGTGGCTATGGAGCCCCACACTCCCCAAGGAAGAGAGAGGGATGGAAGCTTCTGGTGAGTTGGTGACAGAGCTGCCCCTTTGTTCCTGCTCAGGCAGAGAACCCAAAGGGCCATCTCTGCTCACGTCCTGAGGCCCCTCTAGCTGTGGGTTTGCTCAGCCTGGCTGTGTCTGTGCCACAGGGAATGGGTGGAGGACACACAGCTATGGATCCAGCAGGTGTCCAGCACCCCCAGCACCAGGATGGATGTGGTGCATCTCCAGGAGCAGCTGGACCTGAAGCTGCAGCAGCGGCAGGCCAGAGAGACCGGCATCTGCCCCGTGCGCAGGGAGCTCTACTCGCAGTGTTTTGGTGAGTGGCCTGGCGAGGGCTGGCGTTGCGGGAATACGCGGTCCTCTCCCACCTCCTGCCCTTCCCCTTGAGCACAGACCCAAGCCCTGAGTACCCCTGAGCTGAGGCCCACCCCATCCTGGAATGATTTTTTCCTCCCCCTCCCCGACCCCTGCCCCAGGATCTGCTAAACGCGCCCGCCTCCCCCTCATCTGCCAGCCAACATGACCCCCCAGTTCCTAACCTCTTAGCAAATGTTTGAAGACAAGAACTTCCATTTTGAATTTTTAAAAAACAGGTTTTTTTAATAATAAGCATGTTAGTTTTTTAATCAGAAAGACTAAATATTCTGTATTTATATCCATCCATCAGCATTCAGCCCTATGGCCCAGAAAAATATTTCGGGATAATTTGCTATTAACCGACAGTCACAAAAGATTTAAGTGATAGTGTCAAATGGCTGTCCCCCAGCCCAAACTCACTAGCCCGTGCAGACTCTGACATTCAAACTGTTGCCAAACCCTGCGGCCAGCAGGCTCCCTTCAGTCTGAGGATGACGACGGTCAGCATCCATGGAAGAGATGCGTGGGCAAGCTCTGATTCCTACTGTTGGCAGCCCCAAGCCCATCCGGCCACCGGGGCACACAGGATTTCCCAGCTGCCTTAAAGCAGCCACCGTCCTCAAGCTGAAAAGTCTAATTTCTCTGACTCATACCATGGGGTTTCTACCTGAGGGTCAGTAAGGGGAGCCTCCCAGCGACAAGCAAACCCGAGGGCTCCTGTCTCCCTCTGCCCTGGGCTCGCCGACTGCCTATCCTCCCAAGTGCCACCTTCAGAGCAGTAGTTGTCTGGCAAGGCTCCTGGGGCCTCTGTCTCTGAGTGGGGAGGACACACGCTACACTGTCCCCAGTAGGAAGGGCGGTGAGCCCCAGACATGGTGCCGTCTCCCTCCCGCCTGCCCTCCTGAACTCCTTGTTATGCACTTTGGAAGACGAGCTGATACGAGAGGTCACCATCAACTGTGCGGAGAGGGGGTTGCTGTTGCTGCGAGTCCGGGATGAGATCCGCATGACTGTCGCCGCCTACCAGACCTTGTACGAGAGCAGCGTGGCCTTCGGCATGAGGAAGGCGCTGCAGGCCGAGCAGGGGAAGTCCGACATGGAGAGGAAAGTGAGTGGGCCTGACCACGAGGCCTCCGCCCTCTGTGAACTCTTCTGCCCAGCTCAGGGCCACAGGGTTGTCATTCCAGACGAAAGTCTCACCTCCGAGGGGGCTCTGGCCATCCTGTCAGCGGGGACCCTTGGGTTCAGAGTGTGCGGGCCCGCCTGGTGCTTGCCAGTCACCGGCCTCCCACTGGGTGGCAGCACAGACCCTGGCACCGTGAGCCTGGCCGGCTGCGTCCCAGGTCCCCTCCGCAGGCACTCACACCGGCCTGTCCTCTTGGTGGAGGCCCAGGATGACCCGAGTTTCCGTCCTCAGATTGCAGAATTGGAAACAGAAAAGAGAGATTTGGAGAGGCAAGTGAACGAGCAGAAGGCCAAGTGTGAGGCCACCGAGAAGCGGGAGATCGAGAGGAGACTGGTGGAGGAGAAGAAGCACAACGAGGAGATTCAGTTCCTCAAGCGCACGAATCAGCAGCTGAAGGTGGGCCCCCCCTCCCCAGGCCCAGGTGCTGGGGCTCCTGCCTGCCGCCCCCCAGCTGTGCGGGGGCCAGGAGGCAGCTCCGTTTCCTACCGAGGAGTCAGCAGACTTGTCCCCGCGCGCTGCCAAGGAGTGAAGGAGTGAAGGAAGCTGATGTGGGGGCAGGGGTGAGGGTTCACTGTGCAGCTTCTGCATGCATCTGGCCCTGGATTCCCACAACACCTCAGCCCGGCTCTCCAGTGGAGGGTTTGTTTTCCCTTGAAAAAACGTTACCCCTCCTCCAGGAGAGGTGGATATGGCAGAAAGTGGAATTTCTCTCCCATGACAGCTGATACTTTGGAGCCTTCCTAGCATGGGCTGGATCTCTTCAGCAGGCTTTCTGGGAGGCCTTTCCTGCCTGCAGCCCCTCTGAGGCATGGCATTTGGGGTGGGCAGGGAAGGCCCTTTGAGAGGGAAGAACCATTTCAAATTAGGAACCTTCCCCAGGTGTGTGGTCAGAGGAGTTCAACGGTAGGTGTTTTTCCTCAAAGTCCCTTCGCCAGTGGTTTACATTTATCCAGCTGAGCTGGAGCGGGGCCAGGCGTCTGAAACTCCAGGCTCTCTGTGGGATCTGAAACTGCTCTAAGGTTGGGCCCTAGACCAGCAGCATCACCGGGGAACTTTTAGAAATACAAGTCACTGGGCCCATCCCAGATCGACTGAATCAGAAACGTTGGGGTTGGGGCCCAACAGCCTAACAAGGTCTGCAGGCGATTCTGGTGCTTACTGAAGTTTGAGAACCATTGTTCTAGATATAGGACCTGTTGATGTTTAGTGGTGGTCTTCCATGGCCCTGGTCAGAGGGGCCCCTGGATGCTGTCTCCCTTTCCTCCCTAGTCTCATGGAAAGCTTACATTCTTGTGACTGGCAGGCTTCTTGGGGCTCCAGCAAGGAGGACAGGCACTTGAGATAAGGAAGGGCTTGTATGAACTGCTAGGGCAGGACAACAGGTTTTCCTGTTGCTGAGTTTAACAAAGAAAAGCTAGAAACTTCACAGCCAGACATGAATCTGTTTACTTAGCAGCTTCTGAAGCTGCGTGCCTTATCTGCCATGTTCCTTTATCATAAGCCCAAGTTCCTCAGTTCCTCCTACAGCACCAGCAGCAGGAGCAAAGTGGAACACCTTGGCATCTTTCTAACATTTCCAAGCAAACTTGTCATCCCCAGGGTGAAGGACTCTTTAGAAGTGAGTTATTTTTATTGGCTCCAAGCTGCACTGCAAATAAAGCAGTGCTTGCTGTCCCTAGGATAGACCTACTTAAAGATCTGTCCATATACCATGATAGTAAATTATTTTCCTGGCTGCTGGAGGAGCAGAGTAAATAACTCCCAAGTGTCTTAAGCTTTACATACAAGATGGACAGCTCCCTACTTACTGGTAGCAATTTTCTCTAATTGGGTGTCAAGTTGTCTAAGTGGCTGAAAAATGGCTGTTTCCAAAATCTCTCGTCCCAACTCAGAGCTCCCAGGATCCCGAACCAGAGAGCCACATGTTTACCTTAGCATTTCAGGCCTGAAATCTGAGCCATAAAAAACCACTATTTCAACAACTTTTATTCAATTTCCTTTTCAGTGCTTTATATTATACGCAGAGCCATTATTGTATGGAAACCAGGACAGCTCTGGTTTCTCCCAATGTAGCAAGACTGGATGCCAAGCCCGAAACCGGCTATCTAGGAAATATGGAATTGGGAATGGAGGGAAAAACACTTGGCGGGGCAGCATTGGATTCTTCTTCCCAGGGACTTTATCACCTCTCAGCGCAAGGCTGCAAGCTTCAAATATTAATGGAGTTTGTTTTTGTTTTTCAGGCCCAACTGGAAGGTATTATTGCACCAAAGAAGTGATCATTTCCACATGGGTCTCAGCAAGCACTGCTACCCCATCCTAAGCCTGTTGTAATAAAAAAAAAAGCTAGTTTCCTGAGTGAACAGGCCATATCCTCCCCCTGGTCCCCACCTACATGTCTGTCAGAAGTCACACGTGGCCCCAGTGGCATGGAACACTTAGGTCTGGCAGCCAGGCTCCTGGCTGGGCAGTGGAAGGTGGTGCAGCCGACAGTCTCTGTATGTGGCCAACCTTGGGATTTGCCAACTCAGAAAGTAAGGCTTTCGGCCATATCCCTCGCAGGTGAAACTGCCTTCCCACCACTGCTCCATACTATCAATTATTTCTAGCTGAATGAGCCGCCTGCCTGTCCCATTTCTGGTCCATGATGCATCTTGTATCTGACCTTGGGCTGCTGAGGCCTCAGTCTTTCCCCTGAGGTCTTTCACCATCCCTACCCCAGTGCGGGTCTAGTGACTCATGCTGGAGTTCTGCGTTTATACTAGGTCATTTTACCCCCGCCCGCCAAGGCCACCCCAGCCTCTTCCCTAGTCTCAGACTGCCCAGGTGAGGCAGCAATGGCAGCCAAAGCCAGGGCTTCTGAGAAAGTAAATGTTTGCTGGGAAGAAACAAGTCATGAGGTCCACTGTGAGCTGCCTGCACCTCAGGAGCCCTGATTTGGTTTGTTCATCTTATTCTGCAGAAAATCACACCCTGACCCTAATACCCCTCTAACTAGCTATGTTTGATGAACAACTGGAGAGGTACCCAAACCTCACGTGCTGCTCTAATTATTAATGAGGAGGCTATGGCCTGTAGACTGCATTTTACTATTCCTCCCAGGTTAAACTCAAAGTTCAGAGGCCCAGGGCTGCTCCTGGTTTCGTAGACCCAGAAGCCTAAGTGAGCAACACAGATCTTCCATTTAGGGCAGTCCAGGGTAGGCTAGCGCAGCAAGACGAGGGACTCCCACCCTTCATGCACACTGCACGGCCAACACCTAGGAAGGCACGGACGTGTCCGCCCGGCTGGAGCGCCTCAAGTTGCGCAGTATTCCCCAGGAGGTGCCAAGAAGGACCCTCCTTAGTGGAGCTCTGACCCGACATCGTCCCTGTTAAGGTTCCAAGACTCCCTGAAAGAAGGGCAGGCCAACAAGAAGAGCTGGATTCCGGGTCAAACATGCCCTGTCCCTCTCATCTCAGACTGGAAGCCAGCTTTTACCCCAACCTGGTGTCCTGAGGCATTCTAAGGCTCCACTGAAATCACCTGTCTGGGCCGCCGTTCTCATGGGAAAGAACTCTGTTCGTTGAGATGCGCCAGTCCCGGGACTCCCTGACAGTAAAGTACCTGTGTCCTCACTGCGTCCATCTAACGGACTCGGAGGGAGAGCTGAAGCGGCATTTTTCCCTCCTATTTTAAAGCGTAGGCCACATACCCTACATCTTCGAGATTTTCTTTTCACAACTCTGTTCCAAACTAACTGCCAGTATAAAAGGTATTCCACCCTTTCCATTCTGTAGACCTCATCTGTTTCTGTCAGAGGTCTGCATGCCATGGGTACGCTCTGGAGGAACGAAGAGGGCTCATTTAAGTGTCAGAAGTGCCACTGGACCCCATCACCTAAAGCCTTAGAGGTGTAGGGACTTTATTTTCACCAGCACCGGTGAAGGGTTTCAACTGTCGAACCTCAGAACAAATGCATCATGGCCTTAGAAATGCCGACTGGGCATGAAGAGAAGGAACACAGTTTCTAATTGCATATTTTTGTATAATTTAATAAACTTTTAAAACATTACTGCTTATGTTTGAATTTTTTGTGTCTGTGTTTCTGTCCTTCAGAGTCATTGGTCTTCTTTTTGTTCCGGTTCCTATTTTTCACGTTGTGGGTTTCATAGTAACGCACACCAACTTTCCTGGATTGCTGCTGCCGCACCGCTCGCCTCCGCTGTAAACAATGGCAAAAGGGGGAAGAAAAAAAAAAAAAACCCCATGAATCACGGCAAAGTCACAGAAGAGGCCCCTCTTTCTCTGTGCTCCCTTCCTGTGCTGCTCCCCCAACAACTAGAATCAGCGCTAGTAACAAGCAAGGGCTCCCCTCACAGACCCAAGTGTGCCCTTCCACCGTAACTCGTGACGCGCCCCGTTCTAGACTGTCGTTTGGTCCGTCCTCCCTGCTGGAATCTCTTCTACTGCACTCCTGACAAGCAGTCCTCTGTCTAAGGGTGAACACTTCTGAGAACAAGCTCTTCCCTTCCCAGCAGGGCCCACCCCAGCTCTGATGAGCCCAGTTACAAAGCTGACGGCAGGGATCCATCTGCCTACACAGCTCTGCTCACAGAAAACCAGCAGACCCTTCTAGAGGATAGTCCACATGTTCGAGGACAGCGATCGAGAACTCAAGGACTGCCATCCACTGGGCCGACTCTTGATGCTATGGAACTGATCTCAACTAGGTCACCTAGAACCGGGGTTCCGAGAATTCAACTCCAGACCATCAGTTTTGGAAAGTGTGTCTCCTAGGAAACTGACTTCTCCTCTCTACTTCCTGGGTGATGTTTAAGATCAAAACCACGTACTTCCTTGGATGTAAGCATCCTGCGAGTTTTATTCGAATGGTCTTCTTCCCTCTGTGCTTTCCTCTTCTTTCCCTTTTTCCCTTCTGGAAACACAACACACGAACACACAGGGAAGAAACAGGACTTTCAAACTTTCAAAACTGTGTGTGTGAATGCTAAGGTAGGAATGAGCTTGATGTGTTGGAGGAAGAAGGCCAGTGAGCATGGAGTGTGGCAGGCACGGCACAGAGGAAAGCGGGGGGTGGCCAGGAGGGCGCCAAGCCAGGAGGCCCTTGCAGGCCATGCCAGGATTTGCATTTATGCCACGGAAACACACTTTCCACATAGAAGCTGTGAGTCCAATGGAGTTAAGAACAGATACCTGACCCATCCCACCTCCCACAAAAAAAATCTGGCTGACCCACCCCTAGATTGTAAGGTTACTAATGGACTCTTTTTACAGGAAGCTTCCCGAATTAATCCCAAGAAATGTGCGGAATGAAAAGTGAATAATCTGAGCCGTACGACCAACAGTATATAGAACAGGGTCATCTGCCGGTAATGATAAGCACCTGTGCAGGTGACAGCACAATCTCCAAGTTTAGAGGTTAAAGTTACATTTCACATAGTTTTAAAGATGCACACCGCACCTAAGCGGTGTGACGAATTTAACTTTACCTGTGTCTTCTACAACTTCTTCAGCTGCTCTTTGTTCTTCAGATTTTGCAAAAACCTTTTCACTTAGTCCCTTAGATATTCTGCAACAGAAAAGTCAAGTAACAAAGCTGCCCATCACTCCCCTCAGCTGCCCAAATCAGGTGCCAACCCGGGGGCAGGAGGCAACGCCCCGCAGTCCCGGCAGCTCCCTGGGCCTTGGTCAGAGGCAGACCTACGCTGCTCATACTTCAGGGAGCGGCGGCTTAGAAATGGACAGACCACTTCCTGAAAAATGGCATTAACTCCCTTCCACCTCCCAGAAAAATACTGCTCCAGTCCCCATGGCAAGGGTCTCAGAAAGGAACGCGCAAACCACAATTTGTGAGAAGACGAGGATACTACCTGACTGCTGAAAACTTCTTAGCTTTGGCTTTGTTTAAAAACTTCTGATATTTAGCAATCTTTTCATCCAGTGCTTTAATAACTGCCTTGGTGTCATCTGCCGCGTGTTCTTCCTGGGGCTCCGGGCAAGACCCCTCTTCCTCGCCTCCCGGCTGCTTCTGGTCCTCCTCCCCCTCCTCCTCTTCGGAAAAGCTCTCAAGCGCTTCATCGATGTCGGACATCTCCAGAGGGACCAGGTCATCCCCAGAAAACTGAGGCACAACATTGATTTTGCCGAAGTTCTGCCGAACCCGGGCCAGAATCTGCTGCATTTCTGAGTCGGTGTCACAGTGACTGTTCTCTTTCTCCTTCTCAGGGACAGGCTCTGAGGCTTCACCCACAGTTGCTGTGACTTCTTCTTCTGCGTTCTTCTGGCTTGTCTCTGTGGCAACTTCCAAAGATGAGGAGGACGGGAGCTATTCAGGCCAAAGAGGGGTGCAGGTGGGGGAGAGAAATGGGATCAGAAAATAAAAACCATTTCTGGACAGCTTGCTCTCAAGGAGGCAGTCCTCTTCTCGGGGCTAAGGGAAAGAACTGAAGACCCCCACCCTGGAGTCACGGTGTTCATCTACCATAGGCCGAGGTGCATTACACCCAGAAGCTGCTACGCAGGGATCAGAGGCAGTCAGCTGCGGTTCCAGAGGATGAGCCCGCTGTGAGTATCGAACCACTCAAACCATCCGCCGTGCACCCTCCCCAAGGAGGGGAACGGACGGGGCTGTGGAGACAGGCACACCCAACAGGGGCCTTCACAACTGCTCTAGAGGGAAAGCAGAGCGCTCAGCAGGGGGGCGCTGGGGAGGCCCCTGGAGGAAAGGGATGAGCAACAGGAGGGAGGCTGGCAAGGTGAGGCCGGAAGGAGCCGAGATGTGGGGGGGACACTGAAACGACCTGCCTCTCTGAGGTAACGGCAAAGGAGAAGTGGGTGCCAGGCTTTATCCTGGCGCTTCGCATTTATAGCATCATTTTATCCTTACAGCTGAGAATCACAGAACTTCCGGTGATTTTCTGAAGGCAAGAGTGGCTACACAAAGTGCTCAATAAATCAGGAATCCAGAAAATTCAGGAAATTGTATACAAAATTTGTAGGTCCATTTTTATACCTTTTTCCGAAGGTAAAGTTTTTAGCTCTTGGATTCTGAAAGTTTCAGCCACTACAGAAAGAAAAAAAGAAAATCGCAGCCTGGGGGAACTAATGATCTAAAACTCAATGACCAGACATGGAGGAAGAGTTCAAGATAACCCCACTGTGTGCACACAGGGTCACAACAGACCCTGCCACACCTCCTCCTTCCTCACCCCTACTGGCTAACGCACCAACGCACCCCCCAGGTGCTTCCCGCCATGTCTCCTGCTCTTGGCACCGGGGTCTAGCCCCATGACTTTCCCTCAGCACTCGGGCCATGGCAGGCAGGCTCCTGCCTCGGGTGCTCCAGGTGT